TCAAAGTCCTTGGTCAGAGTCCTGGTCAGAGTCCTTGTCAGAGTCCTGGTCAAAGTCCTTGGTCAGAGTCCTGGTCAGAGTCCTTGGTCAGAGTCCAGGTCAGAGTCCTTGGTCAGAGTCCTGGTCAGAGTCCTGGTCAGAGTCCTTGTCAGAGTCCAGGTCAAAGTCCAGGTCAGAGTCCTTGGTCAGAGTCCAGGTCAAAGTCCTTGGTCAGAGTCCTGGTCAAAGTCCTTGGTCAGAGTCCTGGTCAGAGTCCAGGTCAAAGTCCAGGTCAAAGTCCTTGGTCAGAGTCTAGGTCAAAGTCCTTGGTCAGAGTCCTTGGTCAGAGTCCTTGGTCAGAGTCTAGATCAAAGTCCTTGGTCAGAGTCCTTGTCAGAGTCCAGGTCAAAGTCCTTGGTCAGAGTCTAGGTCAAAGTCCTTGGTCAGAGTCCTTGGTCAAAGTCCTTGGTCAGAGTCTAGGTCAAATTCCTTGGTCAGAGTCCTGGTCAGAGTCCTTGTCAGAGTCCAGGTCAAAGTCCTTGGTCAGAGTCTAGGTCAGAGTCCTTGGTCAGAGTCCAGGTCAAAGTCCTTGGTCAGAGTCCTGGTCAGAGTCCTTGTCAGAGTCCAGGTCAGAGTCCTTGGTCAGAGTCCAGGTCGAAGTCCTTGGTCAGAGACCTTGGTCGGAGTCCTGGGTCAGAGTCCTGGTCAGAGTCCTGGGTCAGAGTCCAGGTCAGAGTCCTTGGTCAGAGTCCAGGTCAAAGTCCTTGGTCAGAGTCCAGGTCAAAGTCCTTGGTCAGAGTCCAGGTCAAAGTCCTTGTTCAGAGACCTTGGTCAGAGTCCTTGGTCAGAGTCCAGGTCAAAGTCCTTGGTCAGAGTCCAGGTCAAAGTCCTTGTTCAGAGACCTTGGTCGGAGTCCTGGGTCAGAGTCCAGGTCAGAGTCCTTGGTCAGAGTCCTTTTCAGAGTCCAGGTCAAAGTCCTTGGTCGAAATCCTTGGTCAGAGTCCTGGTCAGAGTCCAGGTCAGGCCTACTGCTCAGTACATCATGTATTTTGTGCATTTAGGCCTTGAACTCCTCCCTGTGATGCTGATTGCTTCTACAGGGGGTAAAGTGTTGTGGCTCGGTCACGGACTCCAGAACCGCTTTATTCCCTATTGTTTGGTGAATCTGTGATCGATTGCATGGGCTGTTGGAAAAAGCATTTATGTGGATTAAACCTTAGTGGAGCAAATAAAGTCAGGATGAACTGATCCGGCTAGCTCAACCCTGGCTTTATCTCTGATGCTGGATTACTGAGCTCAGCCCAAGTAAGCCGGACTCAGAATGAGAACTGAACCATGATAAGCTCAGAGATGAAGTCATGTTCAGTAAAAGGAACCAGATCAGGCAGGATCTCTGACATTCATTCATTACTTTGGAGAAAAGCCTGATATGAATATAAATAAATTTCTCCTGTCCAGATCTGCTGATCATGTCTGACTGCAGGGCAGATGGTTCTGGTTCTGTGGATCAGAGACATCAGAACATTCAGAATCCCTGTTAAACCTGCAGTCAGATGGTTCTACTGCAGAGCTCAGACCAGAGAACAATGACTCCATGTGCTGCTCTCCTTTTCCGCAGTTCCTCAGGTCCTGAAGAGCTGCACCGAGTTCATCGAGAAGCACGGCGTGGTGGACGGCATTTACCGCCTCTCTGGGATCGCTTCCAACATCCAGAAATTGAGGTGAGACGTTTTCCTGCTGCTCAGCGGTCCGTCCCGGGATATGAGACCGAGGCGCTCCGAGGAGCGCTGGTGTAGATCCTTCCTCCCGTCTGACCTCTGCTGCTCCAACCGCCGACATGCTGCTGGTTCTGATCAGAACCGGGAACCTTCCATCCATTTATTTAGTTTAGTTTTTATTGAGTCCATTTTTTTTTTTTTTTTTTTTTTTTTTTCAACCTGATATCAATTTTATTTTACTCTTTCTCCTC